CTACGTACTATAGTAGTATATATATATATATATAATATAAATATATATATATACATATATATATATATATATATATATATATGCAATCACATAACTTGTGTGTCATATTCTGGTTCAAGTGGGTAGAAAATGGTGTCAATTTGCCACTGTTCCACGGTACACAAATACTATTATGGACACCTATGCCTGAACTCAATTATCATGTGTCAGTGACCATAACTGCAGATTCGATTACAACTTTCTGTTCATCAAGTAAGTATACATACAACTCAAAGTGTACTCGTCGTGCTATAACGCTATGCTAAGATCTTGGAATAACAATAAAAACCGATATACAAGACATGATATGTACGCCATAACTACTCAACGCTTGCACACGTGGAATCAGATTGTCACTTACCGGACGAGTCCCTGTGATGATCGCTCATACTCTTGATATTTCAAATCTTAGCAAACGTATCTGCATCTGCCGACACATGAACCGGTCGAACGTGTGGTTTACAATGCTATGAGCCTGTTGTTACTTTGCGATATGTTTTAATCTCGATGAGGATCTGTTGCTTCGAATACTGCACAGCATACAGCTTGTGGGTGAGTATCTATACGTCAATAATAGTATGTACAAAAGCTATGCAGGTATATAGGATGCATGTACATACGTACTACTACTAGGTAATTAAAACTAGATAAATACGAAAGCGTAGTATTTAATAGTAGTATTGAAGGCATACGCCGTCACCGACATATGTATGATTTTTGTATTCTCTACATATTTATTTCGAGAAAACGGTGATTGGAAGTCAGGGTTGTTAGGTTTTGTATGTCATCGATAAACCTAGTTGGACTGGGTTTTCTCATTTTCGATTGATAAACTATATATATTTGTGTGTATAGTTTTGGTTTAAACGAACGTATTTTATTTATTATTTTGTTGTCGGAAACTACTTTGATCTCTATTCTCATTGTTCTTCTTTGATATTTCTGTTCGCGTGCATTCTTTTTACGACACGCTTTGTGTCGTGAACTAGTTCATATCAGTACCGGTATGAAACCGGTTTGCACTTCAGGACGTGAGTGCCAAGTTGCAACGAAGTTTATTCTTCTTTGCTGTCAATCCACGCGTTTGCTATTTATACCTCGCTGCTGTTTTTTCGGGTTCGTACCAACCCTGACAAATTTTTTTATGGACTGATTTTCACCACCACAGGGATACACACAGTGGTCACTGGTCTCAGCTAATTACACCCGCACAAAGTAAACGAAAACACTGTCGTGCAAGTGTATTGATAACATAGATATATAGTCGGGATTGCAGCACGGGCATACACACGCAAACAAAACTACTCTCTGGAATAGTGCCTCGGATTATGCAGGTGAATATCTTGTCCAAGCACATCAACCTTAATGCCCATAACGCTCAGTGAACTCACGTGTTTAGGAATATACATATCGACTTTGCAACAACGGAGTTAGGGGAGGCGCATGACACCCGTTCTAGCTTAATACTTATACTTTCACCTGGCTTGCGTTTTCAAATACACATTTTTTCTTGATCATACTTTCGCTTTCTTACGTGTGCACCTACACACGCTTTCACGCAAGCGCATTTTTACTTCAACACCCGTGCTACGCCTTTGTTTACTCACATATACATCCTTCGGTACATACACATCCGCACATAAAACACCAATATAGAACAATATACGACCGGCAAGACCAGCTGCTGATATGGACACAGAAGACGATTCAGCAAACTCTGGTGCCAAGCGCTGGAAGCAAAATGGGCAAACTATGGATGGTCAAGAGTCCCGTCCACACAGACAGAAAGAGGAGTTCGGTCCCTCTCGTGTAATACATGTGCGTAACATACCACAAGAAGCAACGCCCGCGGATATAGGATCAGTATTCAATCAGTATGGTTCAGTATTTACAATGGTGCAGTTACAAGCACGCAAACAGGCTTTCATCGAGTTTGTCAACCTAGAAAGCGCTGCGAGTTGCGTCAAGGCGGAGACGGGTAGCATCACTGTGCTGGGCACTAGAGTATATCCATCATTTTCAAAGGTATGTTTGGTAGCATGAAACCTTAGCGGAAGTAAGGTTCATATATGACTGATGAATATATACAAGTAGGTTGGAGTGTGAGTTCAATTAGTTCGAACGGTAGTCCGCTTTCTCTACACGGTGTATGTTGCGTCGGTGTGTGGAATCTGTGCTTTCAAATTTTGTAGCACACACCAACACAAGAAAATACTAATAGACGAGATTGTATAACGCTTCAAAAAATGTACTGTATCGCAAGGAAAATTTACCCACTATCGCTCCATATATATGCATATATATAATATATATATATATATATATTATATAAATATATATATACATACATATATATATATATACATACACATATATACATGCACACACACGCACATATTTATATATATATATATTATATATATACATATATACATATATAT